GAAGAGCGATACACACCTTCTCTTTACCAAAGCTACAACGCCACTGCCGCTTGCAGCCGCTCAGCTCCAGACATCACCTAAAACCGCCCCGATATCATGATATTTTTCGCATGCGCGGTATTGGTGCGGCTTTAGGTGATGTCTCTCAGCTCCCGGTTAACCTCTCGTCCTGGAAAGTCAGACAAACCCGAGAGAAATACACCACAGTAAATAAAATGGAAATAATTTTATGTTCCTTGGGCGGCCCGGTACCATTTGATCCACGGACCGGTACCGGTCCCGCGGCCCGGGGGTTGGGGACCACTGGTCTAATTGACTGGTAAATATTGACAACCACAGGGTCATCCAAACTTCAGGCTTACAGCTCACAATGTCCACAGCAACTTGCACAGATCCAGCAGATGGTGCACTGTCACTTCAAGCCAGCACCTTTAACTTTTGCAGTTACTGTGCCTTTCAATGGCACTTGTAACAAAATTCATACACAGTTTATTAGAGGAGATGGTTGTTTAGCATAACAACCAGCACAAACACTTTTCAGTCTTTTGGCTGTTTTTTTGCTCAGTGCTGTATATTCCTCCTCTCTGCTGAACCGGTTCCATCAGTCACTAGAATGGACCTTTTCTCTGTTCACATACAGATTGTTACTTGCTAAGTTCAGATATACCAGGTCTGTTCAGATGGAGACTACTTCTGTCCCTTCACAATCTCCAACTCCCAATCTTGGGCATCAGTCTTGCTCAGCGACCTATCTGCATAAGCAAAACAAGCCTGGAAATACACTTCCCATGCAGCACATAGGAGCCATGACTGATTAGAAAATACTCTCTGTTGTGGACAACACCCATTTGCCTCCAATCAGTCTCATGCCTGTTCAGGGACCCTTTCTTTGCTGAAGCAGGCACTATCTGCATCTTTACGCAGTGACAAACCGTCCATCTGTAATAGTGAGCTGTCACTTTTACCCCAGCCTCAGCAATCCTTGAGTGACTTTGACTTAGGGTTGCCACCTTTTCTTCAAGCGAAACCCGAACACCCTAGCAACGCACGGACATTTTTTTGGGAGAATGAGTCGTAGCTTATTCCTATGTAAATAGTGTCACCCATTCATAAGTAAATATGACTGTTGAGACTATTATCAGTGCGGGGCCAGTATCTCCTATCTTAATTTTATCATTCACTCGGCTGCCCTTGGCAGCATAGTGAATAGACCCCTTTGACTTCTGATCTTGGTAGGAATTCATTCACACGTGCAAAGACATGCATGTGACTATGCATTTATAGGACATTTCTGAATGCATAAATGGTATAATTTATACTTTGCATTTAGATGCAATTGTTTTAGCTACAAAAAAAAATTATGTGCATCCCAGGGCAAATTAGATACTCTGAACACAACTAAATGCATGTAAATGCATATAAACACAGGCACACTTAAATGCAGGATGAAGTGATTTGGGAGGTTTAGGTTTGTTTTTACTTCCTAGATCAATTGCTTCTGCATTTAAATAACACAGATGCAGGACTCTCGTAAAAAATTTAGCTTAGCGGCTGATGTATAAAACTTCTGCCCAGCACATAGCTGGGCCAATGCCATTCCCACGGTGTTATGGTCAGTAGATGGAGCCAAGGGGCATAGAATTTCCTATGCTCCTTAACTCCATCTAGTGGCAGTAATGCAGTGTGAACGGCATTCACCCAGCTATACTCCGGGCAAAAATACTCTACATCAGTCCCTTAGTGTTATAATACTAAGGCTAACTGTTTGAGAGGGGTAGGGACATAGTGATAAAAGACAGCTGGCCTGAGAGTACAAAATCATACACATGTCCATACCAAATAAATATTGTAGACAGTCACCTCAGTAGCAGTGAATCTGAGAGTTTTATTCCTATAGCCTCAACCTGTTGTGTTGCCTTGGGATGGCGAGCAGCTGAGCTGAATCTGATATTTCCACAGCCATGTGTGCTAATCACATTCCTCCTTTATGGAGGTGATTTGTGTGACTATGTTAATAACTCGTGGTTACAGCACTGGAATCCTGAAGTTCACTACAGTGAATTTGTATGTTTGGGTGTTTTTCTTGGCTATGTGACTCATCACTCCTTAAACCTAAAAAAAAATACTGTTAGGTTAATCAGCACCATCTAAACTGGCCCTTGTGTGTGTGGGTGTGAATATAGTAGATGCATTGTACGGCAAGCAGCTATGGTGATGTTGATGGTGATATTTAACGCTCTGTGTAAAACAATATAAATTACATAAATGAATAAAAAACAAATCATGTTATTTATTATTGTTATTATTAAAAATATTCATCATATTATTAATAATAATAATAATTTTAATAATAATAATAAGAACAGTAATATTTATTTTATTACTGTATTGTTGTTGTTGTTGTTGTTAATAATAATAATATGAGGCTAAAGCTACACTGGCATTTTTGACACTGAAAGCAATCTTAGGTTAGAACTGCCTAGGTGATTTGAAAGCAAATAACATGGATAACTTTATATTTCTAGGACCAGTAATTGATTGCTAAATGCATATAGCAAATGGTTCCCTATGGAGTAAACTACACAAGAAGCATGAAGTAGCAATCAGTCTCTCTTGGTCCTACAATGCTTCATTATTGCAAGGCTGATCACTGCAAGATGCTGTTACATGCTTCTTGTGTAACTTACTCCACAGAGAGTCATATATTACACCTGTTTAGCAATCAATTGCTACTCCCAGTGGTTAATCTCTAGCGATTTTGGTGGCATTAAAGTACTAAGTGCAGCTCTAGTCTGTGTACCTCTAGTCAGTGGGTTGACAGCCAACAAGTGGTTAAAGCAGATCTTTAAAGATCTCCAGCAGTGTCTTCTCACAAGCTTTGGGGTTCTTGGTTTTGAAAGGAACCTGGGAAATACTCAGCCATGTCACCCTCACCTTGGGTCTACAAGATATAAGCATACCTTGAATTTTGATGCAAGGTCCACATCAAATCTCTCAGTAGGAAGATATTAAAATTGTCCATGTAGCTTAAGCTTGTCAGCTGATTCATAGGAGTTGGACAAAATTCTAGAAGTGGGAAGCTCTGGGGGCTTGACAAGTGAATTACCCAACTGACGTTTGTCAAAGGAGCTGGGTTAAAAATTGTTTGAAAAACAGTGATTGAAGCCAAGACCGTCTTTACTACAGGGCAAAAGGGGCAACTGCCCTGGGCCCCATAATTTTCAGGGGCCTAGAGCAGCTGTCCCTTTCGCCTGGAGCAGCAGGCAGAAGAGCAGCAGGACCGCTGGTGGCAGGGGCCGACTAGGCCTGGGGATGTTCACAGCCAGGGCTGGCGCCAGTGTAGGTAGCCACCTGAGGGTGCCAGGGGGGTAGTGATTGGCAGGTGGTGTAGGCCAGAACTATAGGGCACACAGGCCAGAGAGGCACGGCCGGAGGCAGGAGGGTTTGGGGGCCCATCAGCAAAATCTTGACCAGGGTCCAATTATAATTAAAGAATGCCCTGACTTCAGCCAGTCAGCTGCAGTCCCTGTTCAGGTGTTCTTACAGCGGCAAGTGCGGGCTGTCAGAACACAATAGCCTGGTGGGGAGGGGCCATTTTTAGTGTGGATTGAGGAATTTGTTAGATATTTTTTCAATCAGCCCGCAGATGGAATTTCTTCTCATGATCTTTGGGATCCTCAGCTTTCCCAAGATCCTAAGAGAAGTCCTAGTGATATCATCCTCACCTAGACGAGCTTGCTGGAAGCTAGAGTGTAAGGTACACATCCATTGTACATGTAGCTTAAATTAGCTATGCACTGTTAAAATTTCAGTAGTGGGGGTCTAATAGATATGTAGACTTTTGTCATTCAACTTTTGTCAAAGGAGCCGGACCATAAATTGTTGGCCGAACAGTGCCTGCATCCAATCACTGTTCGGGTATTCAGAATACAATAGCCTGATGGGGGCGGGGGTCAGCAGAGTGAATGGAGGAATCTGTTTGAATTCTCTTGTTCACCCCTCAGGCTGAACAAAAAAAATCTATTAGACTTTATGCACATCTCCGTAAATCAGGAGCGTATGTGTTCCTGCACCCAATTCTTCTTTTCACGAGATCGCATGTTACACTGCTGCTTGCACTGGAGTGCCATTATTTGTAAATGCAGGATTCAACCCCTCTGCCTGATTGACAGCTGGCACTGCCTCTCTAGAGCCAGCTGTGCCCGCCTCCTTCCCTGTCTTTTCCTCCAATGAGCGCTGGAGGAATAGAGAGGTGCGGGGAGTGGTAACTGACAGTCACTGCTCTCTGCTGGGAGAAGACTGTGAGCTCAGCAATCAGCGCTCTAATTGCTCTGTTCTAGAGCTAGCATGTGACACTGTCGGCTGAAGGTATTGGGTATTTTGGGAAGAGTAGAAAAATAT